CACACACACAAACATTGCCTTTTACAAATATAGATTATATAGGTGTATTGTATAAAACTCTATAAATATAAAATAAACTAATGCCTACACATGTCCACATAATAATTTATCAACGTCACTGGATTTGCTAGTAGAGAGTCTAAATAAAGAGAAATGTATGAAAATTCTATGGTTGAGGTCGATATCTCTAACGTCTGCGGTTAATTTACATTTTTTAATTAAATACCAATTCTGTATCTATTTGTTAAATTTTTAACTATTATAAATTGAAATAATTAAATACATTAAATGCATTGGTCTTTCTATTGAAGTTAAGATATTAAATTTTAAACAAACATTATAATTTTAAATAATACTCATAATTTTAACAGGATATAGTTCCTTAAACGTGATTTTTTTTTAAATTAATATTTTTTTCATTAATATTGTTTTTATAAAATTATAATAATTTATTTCTGCGTATGAATTGTGTCTTATAAAAGCTTCAATTTTGATAACGCCTACATCGAGAATTACATTATAAATAAAATAATAAATATATATTAAACGCATATAAACATATTTATACAAATACACCATAGCATTATACAAAGATAAATACTGATCGGATGCATTTCAATTATTAAATACCTGAGGAGTGCAAATCAACATAACATAGACTATAAACTTAAAGGTTCAATGATATAGGCTATACTTGGAATATTATAAAGTTATTATATTAATATATTCATAGGAACGTAATCCTTACTTGTTTTTGAATAAGATGTACATCATAGTTTATTATGTTTAAAATAAAACGTTTTATTAAATTGATCCAACATTTATATTGATTTATATTTATCTTATTACATAAGATAAGCTTAATAACATGTACATTTTTAAGATAATATCTATATTGTGTGCATATTAGTTAATTTATTTTTAAAATAAATACAGCAATTAAAATAAGTTGTACGACATGACGATCCGTTTATTGGGTTTTTAACAAGTTTAATCGATGAAGGAACAAGTTAGAAACATGTCTCTTAAAATTCAAGATTTGATTATTTTTTAGATCTTCTGATTTTACCACATATTTCTTTTATGTTATCAATGAATTAGTTTACCAAATAATATTAGTTATTTATATTTAATTATTAAAAACTAAAAAATATAAATTTTAAAATGAAATACAGTAATATAGTAAAAACATTACAATACGGTGATAACACACAAAAAAAGACATTATACAAAATAGAAATATGCAATCAAAATATAGTCATAATGACTTTATGCTATTAGCATTGTAATATTACAAGTAGGTTAAATCAATAAGCGTAAGTAAATATTGTGGCTTATAAATTAATCGTATAAATGAATTTCATTTTACTTACCTACGTACTATAATCACTACTTATTTTGGTATTGTAACCGTGTCAATTTTGGGAAATAATTACTCAATAGTTACTAATCGTCATAAAACAATAAATTAACAGATGCATAATACGTAATAATTTTACTTCATTTACAATTCTTGGCTGTAAAATAATATAATAATAAATAATATACATGTAAAAAATACTGATAAAAAGTAAAACAGTAAAATAAATAAAATAACGTTAAACAAGATAAAAGCTTAATCCTCAGGAGTGTAAATGATCCGCCATAAGTAAAGGGACAACGCATATAGCATTATGCGAAGTGGTTGCAATACATTGAAGGATTTTTTGGAGTGTTACATCTGATTTTTAATAAAACGATAGAATACAAATGAATACATATCATATATAACACAACGATAATACAATAATATAATGTTAATAACAATGTGGAATTGATTTAATATCTACGATTACTGATAACTTATAGGTGTTTAATATAATACACCAGCTATTTCAATTTAAATGTTATTTGGCACGACCACCGAAACCCGACGGGGTGTGATTAAAATCCTCGGTTAATTAAAATTAAATTGAAGTAGAGATAAAATTAACTTAAGATTATCGATTAAATCAACAAAGATAAAAATCAACCAAAAAATTTAAATACGTTTTTTATTCTTGTTCGTCAAAAAAAAAAAAAATTGTTACCCATTGTGTTGAACCTATTTACTTCAACGTCTGACACTACTTCACAAAGAAAAATATATAACTGCTCGTAAATATTAAACATGACAATAAATTATACAAGTGACAATTATTAATAGCGGTATACGCAATTAAAATTGAGGGCGCAAGCAAATGAATAGCAAAAATAAACATATTATCAAATTAAAAATTAAACGTTGTGTGGTCTGAGTCTAAAATTTATCTTACACTTCACTTGGGCTAAGAATCTAGGATACTAGGGTCTAGGGTGCAAATTAATTATACACATGTTTCTTTGGATAGGATCGTTACGTAAGTAGGTACTTAGTTATATTTCGAAAGTCTGTTTATTACAGGACTCGGTCGTAAGCATATGAAATTTAACCCTATCAAGTAGACGGATTGTATTGATCTTACAAACAACTAAATTATTAATAGTCCTATAACTAGCATTTTCCTTCTGATTTAAAGGTTAGATAAGTTAAAAATTCCGATACAAATGTCTAGTAATTATGAGAAGGGTGATACATTTTAAAACATAACCAGTCAATGAAAGAAAACGAATTTGAACCCTTTAAATTTTTTTAATATCTTTCTGAGTATAAGGAGATTATATAATAGATCCATATTATTGGAAATACGTAAACTGCACCCGAATTTTAATCTATATTAAAAATGTGTTATGTAAACTGCGCTCCGCTTATAAAATAAATAAAACTGTTGACCTATTAAAGTCTCTATGATAGTGCACTTTTTCAATAAAAATGTTATTTTCATCTAGAAATACCAAAACGTTATCGAATAACTATTACATTCTAAAACAAAAAATAAAACGCAAAAAGTTACAAAATGTAATTAATAAATTTAATAATGGTCTCCAATTGATGAATATGTAACAACAATATGTTATTATTTGTGATGTTTGTAATTATTTTACTTTTTAAAATCATATATATTTTTTCAATTCTTAATTTAATTTTAATTTTAATTATTCATATTACATAATTGTAATGAATTAAGTATACATTAAAGATAATTTTGCAAAAATATATCTATTAACCAGGGCGCAATTTACATGTGTGATTTTGGATTTATCTGTATTTTGGGTGCAGTTTACAATCATCGTTATTATTCTAAAATCGATCGTACTTATGATTTTTATAACGTTAATTGGCTTGGTCATTGGTCAACGTCAAACATTTCGACGAATAAAACCCAAAAAAAGTGACGATTTTTAAGTAATGCCCTCAAGTAATAAAATAATAATTATGATATTGTTGATTTACACGCCAAACGACAATTTTTCTCCTAAATATTCAAAAAAGTAAAATTATATTTATTATTTATTGCACGATTAATCAAATTCAAATATTTTATAATGATAACAAGTAACAAAATTTTTCGTTATAAATATATAACTTATAAAATGTGTACCGACAATTTAATTTTAGCTAAATAAAGTCATAAATTAATTAAAATATGATTGTTAATATTTCCATTCTATTTACAATAGTTTAATTAAAACTTGTATGTTTATATTTGCATTTCATTATTATTATTATTATTATTATTATTATTATTGATTAATATAAATCTTGAGGTAAATTATTATATTAGCTTAATGTAAATGAATTGCTAGGGTAATTATGATGTAATCTCTTGGATCTTCTGGGCTACAAAAACAAAATATCTAGAGAGTAAAAATAAATGATTAAATTACTTCTATTTTATATCCTTAAATCTAAATAAACCATATTTTGGGATCAAAAAACCAGTCGTTGTTGACACTTGTAGAAATTTATACAATACAGATAGAAACGAGTATTTTGTTTTGATAACCCATTTCAAATGTGTTGTAATAATTAATGACCTTTATTATTAGATACTTTTGCAACATACGTGCTTAATACTGTTATATCAATGGGTAATAGTGTGTATTGTGTACAAAACAAACCGAAGTACTGAGTATACATGGATAAGCACTATTGAAAATGTTCAATTATACTTAAATAAACGCAATATTTCAAGAATAGTATATTATGTTTATAGCTCAGTCTATATAGCTATGGACAGATTAATTTTTGAACGTACCTATTCTGATATTTGACAGCTATAGTTAGTTAAAAATTCAAAAATTGATACATTTTCAGTTAATACTTATTTTTTGATATGCATATTATTTAATTGCGATGATTATAGAATGCTATAATTAATACTTACTAATAACTAAAATATAGTTTATTGTGCATGTACCTTAAATGTTACTCTTTACTTAAATAATTAATTATAACCTTGATAGTTACCCTATACAATATGATTTATACTCAACATACTCAACTCCTTGTTATCCTTTGTATATAATTTATTCTGATTCTAATTTTTGAAGTTGTTAAGGATAAATAAGGACTATATTTTACACTGTTCTGCGATGATTTTTTTTTTTTTTTTTGTAAATTTTTAAGCAAATGAAAATTTTCTAAATTTTAATCAAAATTCTAACGAGAAGTTTGAGAGTTTTATATTTAAGTACTAATAAAAATTAGTCCGTGATAGTAGATTTAGGAAATACTATATGGGGCTAAAATTATTTAAAAATTATAGTAATTAATATTCATTAAATGATATTTTATATTTTGTAAGAAATTGTCAGAACATAATAATTACTTGAATACAAAATAGACTAGATATCATACATTTATATTCTACGTAAGTATAATTAATCGAGTTGGCAGATTAACATAAACTTACATAATTAAAAACTATATACATTAATTTAATCATAGAGAAAAATAAACGTATTGACCTATATAGTCATTTAATAAGTAAAGTTCTAATTGTTTTCAAATAAAATATAAATATGTATTTGTTATTAAATTATTATAAAAAAATACACTTTAAATTTATTGCAAGTATTCTTTACTATTAAGACGATTTTCAATTGTCTTTTGGTTTATTCGATTGATTTTTAGTATTTAAACTATGACATGCTGAATTTAATACCCTCGGTATCTTACATATTTCTCCTCCCGTTTTATCTTCAATTGAATTTTTTGCATTGATTATATGTTCTATTTGTTTTTGTGCTTCATTTAAATTTTTCGTCAGTATTTCAATTTGATTTCTTAAACGTTCATTAATCTATATAACGTATTTAAACCGAAAATAAATAAATAATACCACATTTTTCGAAAAATATGACATAATAATATGATAAAATAGCTTTATGCTGTTTCATAGTCAATGCATATTTTGTGAGCTTTTTCAATTTTAGAAAATAATTAATATTCGGATTAATAGTATTTTTTTAATGATATTTTATATATTTAGAAAGCTACTAAGAAGCCTAACAAGTTTTTGTGAGTATTAATACATCCCTGAGAAAATTAACCATCAGCCAACATCCAAGAACAAAAACGTTTAATTACTAAACATCATACATATGCAGACAATTATTACTGAGATTTATAATAAACAGAAACTCACCGCGCAGAGTTAATTGAAAAATAATTAAAAGTCATTCATATCGCCCATTAAATTATAAATCAAAAACAGAATACTATCGAATACAGCAAAAGCCTTAACTATAATATCGTATAACTCAAAAATAAATTAAGTAGGCTATATTTTTGTCTGGTCTATATATATATATAGCTCAAATAATTTCGTATGTAAAACAAAATTCTTCATCAGGTATTTTTTCCAAAATCAAAACAGCCAATTATGAATACTAGATTTATTTCTAAAAACAAATATGTCTCACTTTCCCAAATTAATGGAAAACTGCAAATGGAAACATACATAACTCTTTAACTCAAAAACTAAGTCCGCAAAAACCTCTATATCCACTCCACCACTACCACTGTCGCTATCAATATCCATTAAAGCTCTTATCAATTATTATCAATCATCCAGCAACACAATTCGATCTTTAATTTTAAATGAATAATTTTTGTGTGAATCCTAAATAAATAACATAAAAATCAAATACATCCACAGTTGACACTTTTACAGAATCTGATCAAATATTTAAAAGAAAAAAAATATCAGCTATAACATGTGTATTAACCAGACATTATAATACGCTAATCAAATGCATAAACAATAATTTTTAATCTTAATAGGCTCTCTCCCATTGATATTATAAACTTAACGTTTTCCATGATCAAACAAAGACACCTATCTACCTCTTTTTTTTTTTTTGATCAATGGCCCTCCCGACAATAATAAATTTAAATTCAATAAATTCTGTTACACAAAATGTATAAACTGAAGAAAACGTTTTCATCCTATATTGAAACTCAAAGTTACGGTAATCTTTTCTAGATTTATGAAATGCTCTGAAAATCGATTCTCAACTGCTTTCAAAATTAAAGAGTCCCCAGAAAATTGTTATTAATGTAAAGATCTAATCTTTACTTAAAAAAAAAAATCACTAAGAGGCAAACCCTATTTTTATGTGCACTACAACACACAATGTGCACCACGAATATACAAGTGTACACTACGATTTGAACGTGTGTGAACTTCGGTCTATAAAACAAAAATTAAATAATATGCCAGCTACTAGAATATATGAGTATTTCCTGAATTTTTTAAATTTAAATTATACTGAATTATAATTTCTTTTTATTAATTTTCAAACATTATCAGCCAAAAGTATTTTGTTGTTGTATTAAATTATTATATATATATAATACATTTATTTTTCCAAGACAGTAGCGAAAATCAAATTTCCGTTTAAAGCAGAAAATTAAGTGTGCAATCCGAAATTTTACAAATAATAAGACCTGCAGTAAGAGGTAACTATCACAAGGTGACTTTCCTTCTCTCGATCTAATTATTCAAAATTTTACCACACATATACTTATAAACTCATATTGTAACATATCTCCTAAATATTTGATTTTCTATTAAAATGGTATTAAAAATAAAATTCATGCAGTAGATATACACGTATTCTAAACCAATATACTCACTTGGTCGCGTTTTTGGAATTCTAAACATGCTATTGCTCTGTGTTCGACTAACTTTTGTTCTAACTGTTTTATATATTCAACATATTTAAGTATCTGGCATTCAGAAAAATTTTTGGTTTTCGTCACTTGTAGTGCTGCTTCTTTTCTGACGAGATCTAGATTTTCTTTTAATTGTAATGAATAATGAGTTCGTTCCATGTATAGTCGTTTATTTTCCGCCAAAGTAGCCTCCTGAGTCATTATTTTAGCCCTTGGAAAAAAATTTAAATATTATATTTTAAAAAACTATTAATAATAGGTAACAAAATCTTTATAAAAATACTCATACAATTTCTATTTAAATAGGGGAAAAAACACATTAATCCATTCGGAAAATTTTTGAAACTCATTTCAATTACTTTTTAAAATTTTTTACAATTTATTGTTAAAGTAGAAATATCAAAAATAATTTGTATTTATCATACTTAAATATTTCTTTAATTTTACCTATTTAATTGTACAAATAGATAAGAAAATTAATTTTTAATTTTTTAATCATTTGTATTTTATACTATTTACTTAATAATTAATTTAGTATTAAAAAATGAAAATAAATATAAATTAGTTAAATATTAATTCCTGAACACATTTATATAAACTAAATAATAAACCATAACATTAATTCTTTTAAATTTTAAAATATATTTAATTTTTTAATACAAATACGTCTAAGATAGTATTTAAAATAGGTATCTAAATACCTACTTAGATTAATAAAAATATTCTAAATAATACTGTAAAATTATTTAAATACATTGACAAGAATGAAAAGAGCACATGAATAAACAATATGTTAATGTTTCAATAGTAATTAATGCATCAATTCTTACCAGTAATGCACAAAAAATTAGTAAACTTTAATATTGACTAACTTTTTAAACGTATTGAAAAACTTTTTAATAGTGGAAAGTAAGTATGTGCAAAATTGAGTTTATAGATGGAATTGAATTATTATTTGATATAAACAACGAAATAATAAAATGATAAAGAACATAGGTAAGAAAAGTGAAAAAGTAATCTATTTCATAGTTATTAACCAGTTTTGATGTTTCTTGAAATGATAAATTTAGATTATATTATATTGTTATGATATTTTCACCTCATAAATATTTATATTGAAAATTAAACTATCGTTTTGAAAATTAAAACTAATTTAAGTAATATTGAAATCTGAAATGTATCAAATTTATACGATTAATATATTTTGACTAATAAAAAAAATAACAAAAACCGTTAAAGCACATCATTGGAATATGTTTGAACATTCGATGTCATCAATATTTGAACCTAAATTATCTATAAAAAATACTTAAGTTTTATGCACATTTTTTTTTTTTAATTGATTCTAATTAAATGTCTATGAAGAATCTTCCATTAAATTTCAAAATTTATTATCTCTAAAACATCATTTTTTTCATACATTAATCAAAAATAAAATGAAAATTAAATATTTTAAATTTCTATACAAATAACAAAAAAAAAAAAACTAGTCAAAATATTTTAAAAATTAAACCAGGCCCAAAACATACCAATATAAATATTTTATGAAAATTACAAACATTAATAGTAATTCATTATCTAATTTCAATCAAAACCCAAAATCAATTTTGTCAAAAACTGGTGTTGCATAAATAATCTCATTATTCACAATTTAATTTTTGTTTATCTTAATTATTTTGAAAAATGGTTTAAATTATTTACTTTTGATCCTTTTTTTCTCAAAATATCAAAATGATCCAGTTTGGTACAAGTAATCACTTTTAGAATTGAATTTTTACTGATAAAAAAAAGAGGAGATGACAGACAAAATTAAAATTTTTTTTTTTTTTTTTAATACAGATTATTGCAAAACGAATACATTCATCGAGCCGCTTTATAATATCTAATACTACATAAAACGGTTTTAAAAATAATTTTTACTGGTTAAATCAAAGTTTTTATATTTCTTGCAATTTAAATTATTAAGCTTAATTTATTGTGAATTACTTTAATTGTATGTTTTCTTCTTCTAGACATATAAGCCTTTTGTCTTTTGCTTCCCTATCATCATTCGCCAAAATTGCATTCTAATAATTTAAGCATATTAATTTGTATTAATTAAATATAACAATATACGTTTATTTATGTATACTAATGATTCTATTTCTTTTAGAAGATTGTCACGTTCCTTTTCCAATTCTGTTCTAGTCAATGTCTCTTTTTCTAAATCCCGCTGCGCAGTTGCTAATAATCCAGGTAATGTCCCGAGCTCATCAAGACATGATTTTAGATGCTCCTAAGACAAAGATATTACAAATACAAATATTATATTATCATGTTAAAATTTGTATTAATCTTTATCGACACGTAAATTTGAATTATACTTATAGCCTGTATATTGTTTATTTAATATTAATGGGTGTTTGCAAAGTACGCATTTGAAATCGTTCACATTTATATTTTGCGAATGATACGTGAACATCTCTCGTTACTTACATCTAAGTCATTGAATTGTAATACTATATTTAAATTTTATTTTTAATACTATCATCGCATTATCAAATATTTACTAATGTACTATAATATGTATTTATATTTTATCTACATGGTGGTATATTATTGTCAAATTCATATGAAAATAGAATACTTAATATTTTTTTTTATTCAGTACGTATACATTTTTAATTGATAGCTACTCATTTGATTTAATTTTAAACAAAAATATATAAATTTATATAATGAGATAAATTATAAAATTCACCATATTTTAAATTCTGAGCAATAGATATATTGTTTTAAAAATATGTTTGTTTTTTTTTTTTTTTTTTTTTTATTGTCTATCGTCATTTTTAGAAATAGTTAACGTTTTTGGATTTTAAATTTTAAGGGTGAATTTTTAGTAGAAAATTGAATCTAATTAGTACCTTTGGTGGTCAAAAATAAAAATATAAAACTATATCTAAATACGTTTTAAAACAACTAGGATAAACGGAAAATAAATTAAAGAAAACACAAACTACCTAATATTTGACCAAATACGATCTAATTATCTTATTTTTTTTTTTTTTTTTTGTTATTGTAATTCAATAACAAATATACTTAAGTGTTTAAAATTTTCACCACATTTTTTATTATAATTTCCTACATATAGCGATATAATTTTACAAATTTTGAACTATTATAGATATTTTAAATTTTTGAATTTTTTTTTCTATAAAATAAATTTTGATAACTATTTTTTTGTTTTGTTGAAAAGTTTGAAAATATAATAAAATGTTCTTCAAAAGAGTTCAATATACTAATTAAAAATATAAAAATATATAGTTACAATTTTTCACGAAGTCTAAATTTTTACTAAACTCGTTAAAATAGTGAATATTTTTAAATTATTAAGTAGTTGAGATTTATTATTTTTATTAATAATTTAAATACGAATATTATTCCTACATAAGATTTTAAAACTGTATACAAAGTTTCTTATAAGTTATTATTATTGAAATTATAAATAACAGTGAAGTGAATTCTTCAATTAACTTTTTCAGCGTAAGGTTAAATAATGTATAGACTATTAAAAATAACAATTGTTTCTATAAATAAATTACGATATCAAATATTTTACTGGATCGAAAATTCTAGGAAAGGTTTCTTATAGTTATTTAAAAATATTTAAGGTACACAAGCATTATTATTAATTTTTTTTATACAAATATTTTTAGTTGAAATTTTAAATTAGATATTTAAATAAATAATAACAATTTCAGTTTTTTTTTTTTTTTGTAATTTAAAAAGATAATTCTTGGATACTTGAGATTTTTAATATATCTAACCATTCAAATACACACACACACTCAAATACAGTTACATTTTCAAATTTAATTTTTTTGGATAAAATAGATTAAATTTACTGTATTTACTAATAATAAATTAAATGTCTAATAGTAATATAAATATATCATAAAATACATTTAATAAGATAAACTGAAAGACCGTCTTTACTCAGAATCGTTTTTAGTGTGATTTATCATTATTTTCAAATTTAAAACATACATTTTAACAACTTACACCTCATAGATGCAGTACAGTAAAACAGTTACCTACTTTCACCCTGCTTATAATTCATAATATCTATGTTATTTATCCTGTTAATATCGAAGGAAATCATTTAACTTTACAATTAAAATTTTAAATTATATCCTACATATTAGAAATTATTTTAAATCTATTTTACATCACTTTAGTAAGTTTTTTTTTGAGCTTTAATAGTTTTATAATTAATAATATTATAATAGATAATCTAATCACATTATTATATTCAAATATCTTATAAAAGTTAATTACTACAAACATAAACACAAACTTTAAAAATAAAAAATTACATTTACCTTAGTCAATATCTTGTTTAAAGAATTAATATAATTAATGTCAATAACCAGAAGAACGTCTTCATATATTATTTATCAAACATGAATATAAACATAAATAACTCCAGTTTCAAAGAATTGGACATGAACAAATATACATTTCCAAGTGAATTTTCCGAACACTGATATTAATTGATTAAGGATCATTTTTAAATACTTTTGGTATATTATAATTTAAAACTAAGAAATATAAATTAACTTCAAAAATGATGATATCAAAATTATTAAAAATTAAAATAACTAACATTTATTAACAAACCTGGGTAGTTAATAAATATTAAGTGCATATATTAAACCCCATACATCTATTAATTAAATAGTTTTGTTAAGTTTTTAGACTATGTGTTTAAGAAAAATATTGAGCAGATCATTATTATTTGTGTATATAACTAGAAATATATTAGTATACAAAAGGAATTCAATGAGGTTCTCAATATATTTTCTAATTAAAAGCAAGCAAGTATAAATTAAATCATACTAAACTTTTTGAAGGTCATTATTGTCATCTCAGGACCTATATTAAATAATAAATTCTTAATTTTTTAACAATAGTAAAATATTTACCCAATATTATTGTAATAAATAAAAATTTATTTTAGATAGGTACTAAATTTCAAAGAAAAGCTAAATGTTATGTATTTATGGAACATTAAATATTAATTTATATATATTATAGATGGATACTTATATTATATGGAATTTAAACGGTTTTAAACACACAACTACTTCTATTTTTCTGGTTAGTAAAATATCTTGAACTATTAAGAAGAAAGCAAATATTCATAAATTTGAAATCGTTTTCATACCAAAATATAAATGTATAACAATACTCAATTAAATATGATATCACTTATTTAATATTTTGAAGGAAATTTATTTTAAATTTTTGAAAAATTAAAAACTATTAATAACTAAGTAGAATAGTAAAATAGAATTTAATTTATTTTATATAATTTTAAATCGAAATTTAATTGTTTCTTGCTACATTTCTTAGAGCATACAACTTATAAAAGTTATTAACTTGTTAATTGGTTTTCAAAATTAGGGTTCACTGATTTTTGTTCTTATTATGAATATAAATCAAAAAAAAAAAATTATCAAAAATCTTTAAACTAATAATAAATAATATTTTACAATCAAAGAAAAAATTTCCATGAAGAACTTTAACTTATTTTTTAGTTTTCACAACTTTTGTCGACTAAACGACAAACACTATATTTTTCACACTTTAAAATCTCCAAATTCTCTTTTTTCATTACATGGAAAGTTATGAAAAGTTTGAAAATAAAGTTTGAAAGTAATGATTTAAACAAGAAGTATCTGCGTATTACATACTAGTACGTAAATTATCCACTAAAAATTTTCTAAAAAAAATATACATGATTGTTTTGGGTTTTTAATGATAAGTATTTAATTTTAGATTTTTAACCAATTAAATTTTTTTTAAATAAAAATACTTAAAATAATTTTTATTGTTTTTAATAAAATGTAACATTTTTATTTTCATAAAAATGATTTATATAAATCATAATATAATCATACATTTTTAATAATTTAATTCAAAATTTAAAAAAATATAAATAAATATCTGAAGTGTTTAATCATTAAAATTATAAATTATTTTAAGTAAGAGCTCATTGACACCAAACAAAATCATAATTTTAAAATACGTTTGTCATTAATCATTGTTTTTAAGAAATAGGAACCTTTTAAATATTTTAAATACTTATTGTACAGTTTTTTTTTTCATGTAATATTTGGGTGTTATTTTTTTGTTTCTAAATATATTAAAGTATAAAAAAAATAGTACTCTATTGTAATTTGTAAGAAAAAAACCTCCCCTCCTTTATAATCGTAATTATATTAGAGGTTTTAATTTGAATAAAAAAAGAAAGTTAGAATCATGACTTTTTTTTCGAACAAAACACTATAGGATTATATCAAATTGTAGCGTTGTCATAATTATTTTTACAAACTACTCGCCTGAATGATATAGGATTAAAAAGATTAAGTCATATTGTGACTACATCACTTAATTTTATTATAATAGTATTATTAGTAGCAACCTAGCTATATTTATTTTACATACTAATAATATTCCTTTATATCGTAACTGCTAAAGACCCCAAGTATGTACAAATAACCAACATTTTTCAAAAATAGGTATTATTTAAACTATAATACAAGTACAATGAATGAGTGCATTTTTGAAATAAAATCGAGTTGAAATTACTACAAATGGTTTTGACTTACTAAAACATTACTGATTAATTTAAACCACACTGTAATACTATACTGTTTACAGTTAAAAAGTGATGGCGATTTTTAGATTGTTTAATCTAAATAACATAATATTTAATTTACTTAATAGAACGCTACCCATACCTACATGTTTTCTCTCTATCTTACAAAAGTAAAATATCAAATTTTAATTCATACAAATTAATTGTGTGTTATAAGTTAAATATTCGATTCAATTTATCTATAGTCAAATTTTTGAAAATATAAACTGTGGCTTTTACAAATATTTTGATTTTTAAGTTAGATACGAGCATTTTACATTTACAATACTTTGCATACACAATTCATTTTGCTTAGAAATACATTACCATAAAAAAAACTATATATTTTAGCACAGATAATTTTCTTGCTTTGATAACCTAATTTATTAATCTACCCTAATATTTACGCTAAATTTCTATTAAACTCAAATTTGATATATTTTACGTTTTTTAGACGGAGACAGCACGTGCAAGAGTAGCGAGAGAACACTTAATATTTAATATTTTTTATTTTATTTATATATATTAGTTTTATTTTAAATGCTGTACGGAACGATGAGTGTATTAATTTTATGCTGATGTACGTTTGTATCTTTCTTTTTTTATGTGATGTGTCGCTACCATATGGAGCAATAAAAATGATTCAATCTTCAACTTCAATATATTTTCTTATATGAAAATAAATCTAATCGATACTTAAGGAAGAAAATTAAAAAAGGAAAGTTCTTAGATTTTTTCCCAAAATATTTTGAAAATATGATTAGAAAAATTAATAAAAGTTAAAACAATCGGAAAATTTTTACAGAAAAAATCTACAAATAATTTTTTAGTTAAATTTTCAATATTTTTAATATTTATACCTAAGTTTTGAAAATGTAAAACAATACTTCGTTCAAGTTTTGATTACTAGAACTATAGTAAAAAGTTGAACATTATTCCATAAATACTTTTTATAGGTGTCTGAGTTTTTAATTTTGGCCAAAATAAACACACGTCATGTAAAATTTCACTTTCTTAGCAAATAATTTAAATAATTTTGTTGCAAATTAAAAATTATGAAATTTAGATATTTGAAACATTTTACTATAAATTAAATTATCGTTTAAACTGAATAAAATTTTAAAAAAATTTAGAGTAATTTTAACATTGGTTTTCGTTTACAATTATTTATTATTGAATTAAAATTTAACACATCCATTACAGTGACCTACTGAATGACCAAATACTTTTTACACTTACCTACTGTACAACTGAGCGTTACGTAGGTATACTTTTTACTCGCTTTTTATTTTATAACGAATAAGTGCTTAATATTTTAACCTAGGACGTAGCTACTTCCTTTAACTACCTTAAACGTTTTATAAATAAAAACTTTAAGACTATTATTCAAGACATGATTCATAACAATACATAATAAATATCTTACATTCATTCGATTAAACTCCGCTTCATATTCTTCGGCAATGGTATTTTTTTCCTTACAAATATTTTCAATGCGATATTTTTGTTCTTGATTTGTTTGTAGAACTGCCAAAAACTGAAACCCATCGATATAATAGTAAAAATAAAAATGTATGATGTTAGTTCAGAGTACAAAGTTAATATTATAGTTTGAACATTGCAACCGAAAATAACCTTTGATTTTTTATCCTCAAGTTCAGTCAGATGAAAATCGAGTACCATCTGCATGTTAGTTTTTTCCTCAGTTGCTTCTTGCAAACGATTTCTCAAACTTTCAATCAAGTATTTTTCATTTGAACAGGCCAATTCAGGATCCTGAATAAATATTAAATTATTTAATATGCTCGTAATAATATTATAAACCGTAATAAATAATAAAATATTACGTGGGATTTTGCTGAAGTGAAATCAAACAATTGTTTTTGTAATTGGCAGACCTGTGTTTTTAATATCTTTAAGCGGTCTTCATAATTTTTATAGTTACACTGAGCTTCGCTAAGCTTTTTTCGTAGATTTGAAATCTCTTGTAATTTATTGCTGAAAATGAATTTAATTTAGTGTATGTATTTTGTAAGTATGTTGATTTACTCGTATATTGTAATATGTTAACAAGTTATGTTAACGTTTACATTATAGGAAGGTACTATTTACGTAATGTGTAATGTAACCTCAAATTGAGATATGATTATTTTATTATCATAATTATTATATCACAAATTAAAATTTTAGATTTTGAGAGGAACGCGAAATCTATGAATTTTACAATGAAGTATTTTTTATTTATGTTTGTGACGTCGCGTTTTAAAGGGAAACATTTGCTTTATTTAATAGTGAGGATAGTTTTGGACACTAATTTGATCTTGCTAATATATTAAGCTGTAGGCAGTCAAAACAATTTAATTCTAAATAGGTACTTCTTTTAGTAGATTGAAAAATTTATAAAATAATAGCTGAAACTTATTTGCTACACAAATCGTTGAAAACATTGATTTTGTTTAATTGTGTTGAATTCAAAAAAGAAATAATCGTATACTTAAAAGTTTAAATTGTCACCAAAAAAAAAAAAAAAAATAATATAAATATTAAATTTTTTTAAGCACTATAGATTTTTTTTTCATATTGGTTTTAATATAGGTGACTATTATCATTTTACTTGATTTATGACGATAACATATTTTATTTCTCGTCAAAAAGTTAAAAAATTTAATACAGTGTACGCATATCATTTTGTTTAATATAAAAATACCAAAAAATATCAATGATATTATATTACATTATTTTTACTTTTTAATAACTAATAAACCTATTCACATTATTCTACAATATGCCAATGTTCACCTAAAAATTTTACCTGTTTTTTTTTATAACCTAACCTAACCGATCTTCTTCCATGAGCCCCTTTACCGAATGTAATAATTTATTAATGTTATATGCCTACCCAATACCAATGTACGCTCCAAAATACTGTATAAGTACATCAAAGGGAGTCGATTGTTTTATACATATAACGATAAAGAACGAGTAACTTTACATTATAATCCCTAATGTTTCAACTACTTTTATGACTTTTAACCGATGCGATAACAAATGACTAAATTTAGCATTTACAAAAAAAAAAATGCAAGGTTAGTGCACGAATTAATCTAAACCCGTTACACGCCTCTAAACATCTATGTAACACCCAAAACCCATACAATCTGAATGGATTTCCTTTTCAAAACGCCTAAATTAACCGAATCCCACAATCCTTCTGTAATTTAACCAAAAACCCAAATAGTTTTTATTTTACAAGTTTAATGTAAAATAGTGGCATTTTGTGTGTATTTATTGCGGTTAGCTTTATTTTTCCACTCTAGATGGAAAAGTGAGTAGATGGAAATAGATCTCAAAGACAATTTAATGTGAATAATGTTCACAATACACATTTACTGGAGCGGTCAACGTGCACGGTGGAGGTAATTTTAAATTAACTTCAAAAGTGATTAAATGATCATTTTGTAGTAATTATTATAGTTTTCGTTATGGTATTACAATCTAATAGTAATATTTTATGAATTAGAAAATATTTTAAGAAATATCGTATAAAAAAACAAAAAAAAAAATAGATAGCTACATATTTTCAAATTAAGTTTTTCTTAAAGTACTTAACGCCAGTTAATACTAGTAAATATCCATAGTAATCTGAATAATAACAGTTATAATTTATAAACATTCAATTTTTTGTTTTAAATATTGTTTTATAATATTTGAAAACTTAAACACACCAAATACATATCGATTCCCAAATAAATAAATCAGGTGACAAAGCCATGAAACAAAGTTTTGAAAAATAATGTAGACATTTTATGAATAATAATGACCAAGTATCGTTTTTTTTTCTCTAATTAAATTGTTTGTTTATAGTTTGTATTTAAACAATATGCACCATTGAAATTTTTTATGTATATTATCATATCATGATTAAGTCGTATTTTTTTTTATTTTTTTTTTGATAGTCAACTCACTTATGATCCGCCAAAAGTGTATTATACTCCGTAGTCAAATCTTTACATTGAGGTTCTTGGCCATCGCATAGATTTATCGGCCCTGCACAATTCTATACACAGTTATAGAAAACCCATATAAGTACTTCTACGCTATTATTGACTTTCATGTTTAAAAACTTACAGCACACAATGCATCAGATATGTTTAATACTTTTTTAGCTAATTCAATTTGACACCGATCACGTTTTAGTCCCTTTAATTCATCATTTAATCGATTTATTTCAAGCATTAAAACTTGTGCTTGTGGTATCTTTCAAATTTAAAAAAAAACACATTTAGAAGTGTAAACAGTATGATATTACAATAATTTGTTTAAATTAATAAATACCGATTCATTATGTTCAAGTTGGCACGTTCCATTCTCATTTGTTTTTTTAATTTCTTTGGAAGCTAGCTACAAAAATTTAGAAAAGTTATTATGTTCAATGAATTGATTTAATAAAGTATTCACCTTTTTTTTAAGACAGTTTGTCAAGATATGTGTTTGTTGATTCTAAAAGATAAAAAATATTGATATTTCATTGTTGTTATATTTATTTTTAGAGTTTTTTATTACAGCACTGTTAAGTTTGCACAGAAAATCACGGTTCTGTTGATGTAATATCTTCATTTCCCCCTTCATTGTCATAAGTTCGTCTCTAAATTTCTCCTTTTTACAATCAATATCTGAATTTTTGGAATGCTTAAGGCAATTATCACTCATAGTATGATTTTCTTCATTATCAGACAAACAACAATTTTCGGATTCATCGTTACATGAACAAATTGACTCATTATCAGGCTAAATTATTGTTTAATTTGAATAAGCTTTTGAAAAAGACCTTAGACTTTTATATTAAATTAATATTTTAAAAAATTTGCTAATTTTCTAACATTTAATTACTAACTTCGTTGCATTTATTTCCATTATTAACTAGATCATAATGAAAAAACGTCGGGTAGTTTTTTTCATTGTTAATCAATATCCACGGAACCATTTGTTCTCCTTCCTTAAATCAACAATGCAAACATTTTTATTAAAAATCATATATTTGTATAAAATTTAAATTAATTTAATTATTAAAGTATTAAATGTTTTATTATTACTTAAAGTTATAAAATATTGTTACCCACCCATTTTATTTTTAAATATTTAGTTAATTGAACTTTTAATAATATGATTATATAAACGCTGAAAACGTATAGTTTTATGCTTGAAATTATTACTATTTTTTTCTTTAACAACATCAGATATATATATATATATGCATTGCACATTCCTAATCAATTTATATTTTACCATAGCCAATGTATCTTACTATATTAAAGTGTTTTTGTAAGAGATATGTTCAATTATATAGTACCTATATCGGCTATATCATTTTATTTTTAGTCAAAGATGTTTATAATTATTTTATACAGTTTAATGATTTTGCCCAGAACAATAAAGCTATTGATTTTACAATGAATATGATTAATTTTATTTTTGTCAATATCTTAGTAAAAAAAAAAAAAAAGAATGTATAAAAAATGCTTGTTAAACTAATAGAGCATATTTTTAATAATTAAATTTCGTAAATTTTACATCAGTTTATGTAAATTTTAATTAATTTTCAAGAAAATCGTGAAATTTAACAATACAATTGAACACACCTTTTTTTTTACAAAATTTTGATTAATTAAGTACCAATTCAGAATCATTCTTCAAATCGTATGATAAAAATGTTATATATTTAATGATACTACTCAATTCTACTCATGTATTCACTAGTTCTTACTCTTTAGTATAACTGATATTTTGGCGATATCATTAATTTAGAAAAAATAATCAAGCACATTTAGTTCTTAATAATGTTAACCGTACGGTGTACACAATATCTAAGTGGAATATTCACAATATTTTAATTGAAAACGTAAATCAGTTATTACCTAGTATCTAAAAAGAAATTATGCGTTATTAAAAATTTTATACGTTAAGTTCAATCAGTTCTAAAATTAGTTTATTATTATATCCATATCTTATGAATAAAGTACTTTTCATTTTTAAATATAAAATTATTGTTAAATAACTTTTTACAATTATGATTTCACTGTTTTGAGAATAACACATTATAACTACATTTATTTTTACAAACGGACCAAGTTTAAAAATTCAAATGACAATTAAAACTATCTCACTACACTTTATCTCAATTTAGAAACATAATATTTCATTGTGTAAGTAATTTTAAAATTATATTATATAAAATAATTTTGTATAAAAAAATAATTGTTTTTATTTCATCAATATCACTAGATTTTGTGAAAAAAAATAATATTACTCAGTCAAAGTCCTCTTATATTATGAATTATGATAGAAATTAACTTTTATAAACTTTTATAAGTTTTTATCAAGCAATATAGTATAATAAATATAAGATATTTGAGATTAAAAATATTAAAACTTATAAATACATACCATTATATATAAATTTAAATTATAGAAATAATAATGTTGCGATTTAAAATGTAAAGTTTGTTAACTTAATATTCTACAGTAATTTATTAGTTATTATTAATTAAACTAGATTCAGTCATCTGAATTGACATAATATAGTTACACGTCCGTTGTCAAATGGACTAGGTATTTAAAAATATTATAAAATTCATTAAATATTAATATTTTATAAAATTAGAAAAAATTATCAATTGTCTTATGATTTAATTCCTCTTGTATACGTGAGTGGTGATTTAAAAATAAATATAACCTACCTAAGTACATTTTAAAATATATACTCGTAGTTAGAAAGTATCGAGTAACTATTCAAAAAAAGATTATGATATTTCCTTCTATTTAAAGATGTTTTAATTAATACTTCTTAAAATATTACATTAAAAAAGTAATCTTACAGAAGATTTGACCACTGTTGTCACACAATCATTTAATTTAGAATTTTGATTGATGTCAATATTTCGACATTCGAGGTTTTCAAGTTTAAAATTATTAGCTTTAGCTAATTTGAGCACATCAACGACAGTATTTTTATATTGTACCACCATTTCTGTTAACTGTTCTTGTAACCTACATATTTCCTGTTCATTTGATGATGTGGTTCCACAGTCCTACACATTTTAATATTTCTAACATAACTATTACTAAACTTTTAAGTCATCTGTACACTCACAATTCGTAAGTCAGATAAATTCTTCTTCAATTGCATTATTTTTTTTGCAATATTTACAGCTTTTCGATCAGTATTTCGAATTAATTCAAAGCTATCGGCGGTATCTTCGATTTCAAAATTTGTAGACTCAATTTCCAACTCATCATTGCTATCCTATAACGATAACAAACTTAATTAATAACTCAATAATGTACGATTAAAGTGTTTCGTATTTTATACCGTCATTTTTGTTATCATATTATGTTTTATATGTCTTATTATTTTTAATTTGTTTTGTTATATTGATTTGTATAAAAGATATATTTTAAGCTTTATACAAATAAACAATTCAGTAACACTATTTTAACCGTTACATAAATAAGCTAACTGTTTAATAACATTTTCAATCAATATAAAAACAGCAACAATAATACAAAACAATGATAAAAATACATAGTAACCGTGTGGGGCCAGAAACACGAGATTAATAATATCCACGGAACTCATACTCCAATCGTTAGGAGAACTCTTTCTGCATCGAAAAACATGACATTTGAAATTATTTTTCAATAACTCGTCTATTACAAGAAAATCCATCTAAAATTTTACGCAATTCGTGCGTAATACATATCTAATGTCTTTGGACATGGTATTATATTAAATAATGCTTAATGAATTTCACAATAACATAATATTATGGGTTTTTTTTCTATACCTAGGTATATAATATATTTAAAAATATAAACAGGTAATAATAATAATTAATGTTCGCGACTCACACACCGGCCGTTCCCGCGATAAACAGATGGCGTGCGATAACCTTTGCGCCCAAATCCAGACCGGTCGTCAACGGTTATAAAATGATTAAAATGTTATAATATTATTACGTCGTTAGCGGTGACGACCGGCGGCGATAGCCGACGGTAACTGTCCGGCGAGCGAATGGCGATCTTGCTTCCGGTGGTCGCCCCCCCGCTGTTCGTCGTCGTTGTCTTCGTTCCGCCGTATTTCAGTATTTCCGCCATCCGACAAATCCGTGGTGCACCGCGTCCGCTGCTCGTCACGCAATCGGTGAACGGGTGTACAGTGTACGCCTTGCGCCGATGCGATCTTTTACCGAACATATCGCGTCGTGTGTTTTCAGTTTTGGCGTAGTCAAGCCCGCTTCCGTCTTCAAGTCCGGATTACTTTTGAGCGCGTGAAACCAGCGTTTTTTTCGTCCGGCGCCGTAATCGTCACGTGGTCTGTGTCCGAGCGTGCGACCGATCGGCGTGTCTCGCTGACGACCGTGTAACTGTTCAACGCTGTCATGTGTCCAACGGCTTGGTCTGGTACACCATGGAGGATTCCACCGCCTCGTACGACACTATAGGTGGTTCTCGTAGTACCCATAAGTAATTATTTCGTGATATTGTGCTGTTGTACGCGTATCGTGTCGTTTTGACGTGCTGTCGGTCGGGACACGGAGTCGTCGCCCCGCTGATCCGTCGTGTTACCAACGCCAGTCAACATCGCGATAACCGGCGTGTTATCGTTCAGCTCTTATCACGGTCGTATCTGCATTATTGTTACCTAAATTGTATTTGTGCGGCCCGTGACCTAATTATGGGCGTAATTATTGTAATTTTTATCGATACTGTGTAAACGTAAATTTTCTTCCCGTCATTTTTTTTTTTTTATGAGTATTATTATTAATCATTGTCGTTGTTGAGACGTCCGCCTCTGATTGGTACTTTGAATAATTTTTATAATTCTTGAAAACATCCCGTAGACTGATTCTAATACCAAACATTATTGTTATATTATTACCCTACTTGAAAGTACGAGTCATCTGTGCTAACTGTTTACGAAGAGCCTCATCAGCGAACAACAATAATACTGATAATATAGGTACTGTAATAGTTAAAATAACTAGTACAATAATACAAATAATAATGACATCTTGACTAAAGAAGTGTAAGAATTACATACGTGTTAAAAATGTTACGGAACAAACACATACATACACTTAGTAAAACGGTCTTTATCGTGGCCATTAAAAGATCCCAGTTTAAAAAAAAAGACAAGACTAAGGAATCCGTACCAACGCATACAAAATGCAGGCAGTTTGATGCAATTTTCGACAATCAAATTGGGTTCTGGGGAATCATGGGGATTACTCGGTCCGACAATTGGGTATACATACATTGTGCGAAATTGGTCTAGATCAGCAGTGTTATTTCATCTTCTAAATTGTTAATACTTACAACTGAACAATACGAAGACGAAGACGAAAATATAGAAGAAAATACGGTGAATGCCTCGTATTCAATTTGTCTCAGTAAGAGCCATGAAAGGTAAAGTCATGAAAAAAAAAGCCACTAACATTAGAATCAACCAATTGATCAGAGAACAGTGAATGGAAACACATAACATAAATATATATTCGGTTTTAAAAACATAAAAATATCACAGACATTAGAATATGCAACAAATAAACTAGAACAGTACGGACCGCCACCAAAAAACATAAAGATTACCGATAATGACTGAAATATGAAACTGATAAATCGATTCGGCAGTAACATACAAATATGTACAAAATCGGTGTAGAACAGCCGTGTTATTTCATATTTTAAATTGTTAATACCCAAAACTGAACAATACGAAGACTGATGACATACATTAACGTCGCCAATGATTGCCGGGAACTAAACGACGATGACGATAATCAATCTAGAGTGAATCATCACTAAAGCTAGAAGCGCCGAAAAGCGGGAAGACGACCAGGACGCGTTCTGACTGATACGCGATACCGGGTGTCGAATCATCGCAGCCGTGTCGGAACGAAAACAACAGCCATAGACCTTATATAAGGTCTATGACAACAGCCGAAAGTATTCGAGGTAACGAACGCTTTGCCAATTGCAGATAAGACGTGTGCAACAACGGTGCACTCAAAAGAGCCTTTACAGGGCTTCCAGCCTTTATCCCCCCTACCCCCGTCCATCGATCACTTAATCGAGTGTCGCCGTTTTCCGGGCACAATTCGTTATTACGATCGCCGCTTTTACGAGTCAACGCGCCGGTGGTGGTTGACTCTATGCCACAACCTGTGTATGCGAACAATTCTTCCATTTTTGAACACAGAAGCACGAACACACCTGGCCGACGCATTGACAATGCTGATCCCTCACCCAATATCTTGTACGTATATTTTTATTAACATGTTAAATATACTGAAAACACAACGTTATCAGTTATAAAAATTACGGACAGTCCGCCACCTTTCTGGCGTACGGTTTCAAAAATTAATTTTTAAATTCTTAGTCTTTTCAATAAGATTCGAGATTTTAAATTAGTAATTTTAAAAATAATTATTACTCGAGTAGGGCATCTAATTAATTTTGGGGATAAAAAGTATCAGTTTATTAAAAAATATTATTAGGTATACAAGGTCATCATTTGTATTATTATATTTCATTAATATTTAGAAACATTCAAAGTATAATAATAACCTTATAATTACCTATTTTTATAGTTTCATTTGCGTTAGGTACCATATTGTAAAAAGTCTTCAATTTCATTGACATGTTTAAAAGTTAAGAAGAGACTTAAGCATAATGAAATGCTTATAATGTATTAACATTTATATTAATTCTGTTATAAGATTGTATTAGTTCATTTGACCCAACTTAAATCGTATAAATATAAACGAGCTCGAGTTTTTTTGAATATTGTAGCACTGGATGCATTTGCCACGCATCAAATCAATAACTGATAGCTAAACATGGCCAAGGTGCATTACTGTCAAGTAATTTTATTTTCTGTTAGTATTTAACATTATTAGTTCTATTGAGAAAAATAGCCATGGTGCTGGTTTACTCCATTAAAAAGAATTTTAATTTATAAAGAAAGTTATTTATTATTTAATGTCCGTATAAAATATCATCTTTTTTTTCTTATTTTAAGCGCGACAACTAAAGCTGTGAATAGGATCAGTAGGATTTTTGTGTAAGATTTGTTTGTAAGGTTGGAAGTTGGAACACGTGTGTATTGTGTATGTGTTTACTCCGGGTTCTTAGTGACCAATATTGTGACATATTATAAGAACTGTTATTTTATTTTTCGATTTATAAACAAAAAAAAAGTATAAAATAATTAGTTCAAATCTTATCAAGTCGATAATTATTTTATAATTAAAATATTTTGAAAACTTTATTGGAAATATAAAATGTAATTACCGGGGTAATTATTCAAGTACGCTGGATTAAAATTAGTATGACAAAAAAACGTGGTAAGAATATTCAAACATTTTTAATTTTATACTAATCAAACTTATAAATTAGATAAAAAAAAAAAAGAAGAAATGTAGAGTATGTTGATTTGTGAGTAAATAATATAACTACATGATTGGTATTAGTAACAAGTATTGTTCTAATTTATTATAAAGTTATGGTTTCAATTAATCAACAATAATATAATTTTTTTTATTTCTTTAGTTCTGAATATCAAGAACATAAAGACAATTATGGATAATATTTGCATCAATGTGTTTCAGTAAATTTCTTGTTTAATTTTCTCTCACTTGTGAATCATGGGTAATTTAAATGCCTTAGAAGTTAGAACTAATTGTATATATTATCAGCACTCTATAAACGCAAAATAATAATTATGGTGTATCTATATTCCATAATATCTATATATACCTATACATATTTTATATATAGGTGCTCCCAAGAGATCATTATCAGGTTTAAATATAATAAATTATTTTCTAAAGTGTAGTAAATCTTGAGTAAAATCATTTTTGATTATTTTTACACAATCACACACACCCACGCGCGCGCTTGTGTATAAGTGTAACTTTTTTAAAGCATTTAAATCAGGGTTGGTAATATACGTGTATAAAACGTTTTATACGTTACATGTATAATACCCTACGTATAAAACGTATAATATGTTTTGTTTTTGAAATTAACTCTTAAAAATTAAAAATAGTAAATACTCTTCATATTTCAAGTAATAAATTAGGTTTTTAATTTTTATAATTCGTAAAAAATAAAATTATATATATATTAGCCATTAGATAATAATGATTAATGGTAATATAAAAATAATAAATATATTATATATAATTATAAAAAAATATTTTTCGCATATAATTAACATCCCATCCATTGTGTGTTGGACGACCAGTCATTTTTGTTTAATTTAAATTTTTTGTAACAAATTAAATTTTGAAATATTGTGCCTGTATATTTTGTACGAACGCGACGAGAACAAGACACACACTGAACTATATAATGTTAAATAACATACTATACTTACTTAATATCTTGTGATAAATTTAAATAATTAATAGTACAAAAATAATAAATATCAAGTGTTATAAATATCACAAGTACTATGGTTTTAATATTTTTAATTTTATTATAAATACGTTTTCAATAACATAATAGACAATAGTTAATAATAGATGAATAATAGGTACCACAAATGTCTATATATAATTTATATTTCCTTATTTTATTGTTATTTGTTAGTTTAAATTTAAACTTTAAATTATAAATTTATATTAAAATATATTTATTATTTATTACTTGTTTATTAGGGATTTTTTTTTATACGGTATAAAATGTATAAAATGTATATAATTATGTGTTTTATACTATACGATTTATACGTTTTATACGTATGTATAATACGTGTTTTATACTATACCGTATTATACGTTTCAACCCTGATTTAAATGGTAAAACCACTTAACAAGATTTCTGGTAGAAAATTCTATCTTGCTAGAAGTTGTAGAAAATGTTCAAATTAAAAAAAAAAAAAAACTTAAGGAAAATAGAAATTTTTACGAAAAACCAATTTTTAATAAAATTTATTTTTGTTTTATTCTTGTGAAAATTAATAACATAGAAATTTGAATTTTTCAATAAATATTTATATTAAAATTTTCTAGACATGACATAGTTTTTAATATATTTTGGGTTTTTTTGTGTTAGATGTTTATAAATTAATATTTTAAATTGAACATTTTTCTTACAATAAAAGAAATCTTAAAAATTTGATATAAAACTTTTCATTATCTAATTGTTTTTACCATAATTAAAGAATAAGAAATTACGTATACCTATGTATGGTCAATTTTTTTTTTAAATGTTAATTTTTCAAATTATATATAATTTATCAAAATTAATAAAATATTGGGTAAAATATGTAAATTATTTTATAGATTTTAATTTATAACAAAATTTATTTTAACACATAATACCCGAAAATGTAATATAATATTTTCATAAGTTTCTTTACTGAAAAATTTAAATTAAAAAAAGTTTCGTTTAAAGATAGAGAAATTCAAGTGTAGACGTCAATAGATATTTAAAAGTAAAAATAATGATTTATCCTTAAACGGTTATTTTTATTATTTAAAAAATATTAACCATAGAAATATTTCACTATAATTGATAATTCGTCAAACAAAACCTAATTTTTTAAATATTTAGTCTAATTTTAAGCTATATTTATAGATATTTTAAATGTTAAAAATTGTTTAGTTTTTATTTTATAACTTATATGTTAGAAGAATCAAAATTTTATAAATGTTCTTATACTTGTTAATTGTATTAAAGTTGATAAGCTCTATAAACAAAAAGGTAATAATTGATTTCGTTTAATAAAATATTAATATTTTAGTATCTATTTAATGAGATAATTGTCAATTTAATGAAAAACAAAAGAATAAAATAAGCTAATGATTTTTGAAAAAACTTTTGAAATGCAATTTAGATACCTATCTCTTTTTTATCATCTTCTAACATACGTATGTATATGCATATTTATAAACTAATTATAAATTATAAATATCTTATTTTAGACGGTTTTTTTTTCAATTTTTTTATCTATAATATACACTATTAATGCATTGTCTTTACTTTTTAAATTTTTAAATCTCTTTGAGATACTTGTATAATGTGTGAAAAGGTGTAATTATAATAAAGACAATTTATTTTAAATTTTCAAGATTTAACCATTTAGATAATAAATTTAAAAATACTTAGAATACAATACTTATTATGTCCAAGAAGAAGTCTTATTTATTAATTCAACTCAATTTTGTGCTGCTTTAAAAAATTTATTTTTTAAATTCTTGTCTAATAACAAGAAATCCTTGTCTAAAAGTTTAATGTTTTCATTTAAATGATTAAACAAAAACTCGCAATTTCAATAGATAATAGATTTAACCGATCTAGGTGATCTATTTTAATTCGAATCACCCTTAGCCTCTCTACTTGGCATTTGGTCTAGAAAGGTAATCCTGTTGAGTGTTGACTAAGCATTTGGAGCGTATCCGAAAAGCAACAGACGGTTACGTAAGCCATCTTATTCCAATGTTTAACAAACACAAAAGGTAAAATATACAAAATGCGATATTCATGCTTATTATTTATATATCCCTGTACACATAAAACATACCTGTGCAATTTATTTTATTATACCAACGACATTTCGCCACACGAGATCCATCATCCCATATCATTTTAAACATATATAGAGTGTTGAAAACAAATATCGTAAAAACGTCTTATACGTATAATATTTTTGTCCATTTATTGTTATGACAAAATAACTATTCAGTTTCTTTTTTTTTTCAATAATTATTCAATATAAAGAACTTAAATAAATCGGTACATATGTACCTATAACACGTTTGTATTATAATTCTTTGATATAGACATGTACCTATGTATTTATACAAAAGATGCTTGTATAATCCTTGTATAATAAACTGCATTAAATAAATCTAAAATTTGAATAAAACAGTTGATGATTACTATAACGATTTACTCGCAATATTGTATAAATTCTTGTGTCATCGCTTTGATGAGGTTTATTTCTACTCAAATACTAAAACTAAACTCTTCTCTGAGGAACCACAAATCTATATTTATTGAAAAGGTTTATCAGATTTTAAATAAAGAGCTAACGATCGTTCGCTTTACTACTAAGTGTCACATTATAATTGGATTTATGGCAAAACTATGTTGATACATCTAATGCTATTTTAATTTTGTGTTCTTGATTCTATCTACGGCTTGCTAACTTTTATAGATTGTATAATTTCTTGAATACCATCGAATTGTACTGGATAGTATTGGCTTAAAGAAAATTATAATTTTTTAAACTAATATCTTAATTAT